TCCCTTCCTCCCCCCCCCCGCCTCCCAGAGCCCATTTATAAATACCCTAATGTGCCACCCTCCCCTACCTTCTGTCTGATTTCAGGCTAATGCAGCTACCCACCTCTTAGCCACACAGGTAACACTTGTAGCCATTTGCAAAGGTGTTAGATTCTGTGTAATTTCATTTTCAACTAAAGTGCCACTGCACCCAGAAGTGCCACCAGGTTGTTTGAAAGGTGCCATGAGATAGGGTATAAGATAAATCAGGTCTAAGAAGATAAGGAGATACGGGGAAGCTCAAGTTTCTCCCTGCCTGGCCAGTCCCCAGCCCCTCTTCAAGGAGAAAAGCACTGTCATATATAAATTAGTTTTAGAAACTGGGTGCCACTCTATTCACAAAAGGAATGGTGGGTGCCTCAAGTCCAAACAGGTTAAGAACTACTGGCCAAGTATTAGAGCACTTGACCAGGGAGCAGAAGAGGAAGCTAGTCCCCATCTCCCTTCAGCCAGAAAGGGGTTGAAGTTGTATCTCCCACTAGCAAAGTGACCTCACCACCAAGCCAAGGGTGAGGCAGGACCAAGAACACTCTCCACCCCTCCTCTTGAAGCCAATGATATAGGCAGCCAGGAGGGTAATATATGTGGGAAGCAGAGAAGCAGAGAAAACTAGAAGGACTATCTTGAATGGTTCAGTGAGGTATGGACTGCCTTGAAAGGGAGGGGACCTGGGTTCTGGCCCTTACTTCTATTTGTAATGGTGTTTCTGCATCCTGTGTTGAATAGCTACCGGATAAAATATATACAAGTAGGCTCTTTTTCCCCCATTGGGTGCAGAAACATAAATGGCCAGAGCAGATCCCACAGAAGATGAAGACAAGTTAAACAGTAGAGAGTATAAGCTAAAATCGGCATAAAAGGCTTATTTTAGCTATGCAACTGCTACTCAGCCACATAAAGGAAAGTTGTATTTGGGCCTTTTATATTGTTAGCATGTCATACAAAAATATGGATCGACTTACTGCTCCCTGAATCCTGGAGTTAAGGGAATTGTCCCATAGCAGACCAGGCAGAATAAAGGAACACAGTAAAGGATCTTATAGGAACTACTTTTTTCCTGGTTTGGAGTTAACCATTTCAGCCTTAAATTTGGATATGTCCCCTCTTTCTCACAATCTCCTTCATGAGAAGATTGACAAAGAAAATCCAGGCTCTCCACTCTAGAGAATGTCATAGTTTAGGGAATGCTTTGTCTGCTCCTGACAACTATAACTAGTCAATATATCCTTAACACTGGGGGGATGGGTGCTTGTCTGCGTGTGTTGGGGTTGGGGAGAGATGTTAATTGATAATAACGCAAGAATATTTAGACCCTCACTTAAGCGATTTAGGTTTAAAATGTATGACTCGCATCTTTAGAGTGGGGAGACAAGACATGGCATGTTTCACACTACCAGTCAAAACTCGAATAGTACAGTCCACAAAGGATTAAAGGTTAAAGTAACATAAAATTAGTATGAATCTGAATTTTAATAGCGTGTTTTTATCTTCATAATGGCAGGTTATCTGAGTTATTTTGAGTAAAATGCAACCTGTTCAATACGCATTCATTTATTCATTAATTCTTAGCAGACATTTCAATTACGTGCTCTGAAACCACAATTTCTTCCCAGTTGAAATATGCAATAAATGTACAGAGAATTTCATTTGCTTAAAATGTACAGTATTTCACCAATGGAGATTTCAGTGCCTCAGCACATGTATTCACACACTTATCTATGCTTCCACCCATTCAGTGAAAAATATCTGTATAGATTTTTAAACGCATGATAAAATATGACGTGCATTGCTTTGTGTCAGGTCACATCAAATGATTTAACATAGGCTGAACAAATTTACCTTATTGTACATAAATGCAGCAATTATCACCAACTACCCCAATTTCTTAGTGAGTCATTTGCCACAATTCTAAGTAAAATTACACACTATCTGAGGTTATTCCAAATGCAGGCTGGCCAGTGACTGCAAAAACTACCAAGAAATGACAGTTCTTGCCATTATTGTCCTAATGAGTGCTAAGATATGACAGTGAGTCACAGTATAGGGATATCAAAGGATATGAGAGATATCAATACAAACCTTTACAATGCAGCTGTTACATATGCATTATTTTGTAGTGATACGAGTATAGCAATGTTTTATTAACAGTCAAAATTAAAGTGATTCTAGCTGACCTATATTGCAATAGATGTGACAGATCATAACAGCTGCTGCATGCTTCTGAACTGCAGCTCCTTCTCCCCTTTTAAAGCAGCTAAAAAGTGTGTTAGTCCATAGCCTAAGAATCTAATTGAATCTATTTCTAAAACAGAAAGAGAATACAAAGGATTATACTTTATTCTTTGTATAGCACCAACAAGATGATAGGCCCTTTCTAGACAATTATAGAGACAATGCTCAGAATCCTGGCCCGGTGAAACCAATACAAAGGGAATAGGATTTCATTCAAGGTACCTGCCCTGAACAGATTAGAAATGGTTGCTCATTTGGAGGCAGATCAAACATCCAAATGATTAGTCTAGCTGTAAAGAAAAAACAGAGGAGCCTTCCTGCAAATATAGAATATTGTATTATTTTATTTAAATATTATCCCTAATGAAATGCATTGCTAGCTATAGAACCTGCACTCTCTCTCTCTCTCTCTCTGTATATATATAGTTATGATAGCTTTCCCTAATGACAAAGGTATTAAATTTTCCCTGCAGAATTTAATTTATTCTTATTGTATTTGTACATACAATATAAAGCCTGTTCCACAGTAAATCTGAAATTTGTACAGAAAAGATTTTTTGCATTAGTATAATGTAGGTAACAAAAATATGAATAAATCTCTTCTAGATTTTATCTGTAGGAATATGTGTTTCTCACCAGTAGGGCTGTCCCTAGGGGCGGGGCAAATCATGGCAACCGCCCTGGGCCCCATGCAGCTGGGTGGAGAGGCTGTGGCTGCCGCTTTTGAAGTTTGGCACACCCTCCTGCCCAGAGCGTTGGACATGTTTTTGCCTGTTCCAGCTGGAAGTTCCAGCCACCACCCGTCCCATCATGTCCGGTGTGCAGGGGCTTTCACTCCCCAGTGTAAGTGTGCCGTAGGATGGGGACGGGGCCCCTGCACCCTGCTGGGATCATCTTTGCCCACCAGTGAAGTTCTACTGACAAAAAGTAATGGTGGAAGTGGTAAAACAAACAAAGCAGCACCAGTATTTTTGCCACTGTACTATGTGTACCTGATCTGAGTAAACTGAGATTATGCTGAGGTTAAAATGTCAGGATGTTAGCATATTAAAGACCAGAAGTCTCATAGCTGAAGCTGGGAAAAAAGCGTAGGTTCACAATTAAGCTAAGCTGCTGACATGGAGCAATGCGGTGTTAATGGAAAAGAAAGTATCATAACTTGTTTGTATTTGTTGTTTAGAAATGACTGGGATCCTCCAGACAGAAAAGTAGATACCCGCAAATTCCGTTCAGAACCAAGGAGTATTTTTGAATATGAGCCAGGGAAGTCATCAATTCTTGAACATGAAAGACCGGTAAGAAGTGTCTGGGGATTGGGATCATGCAATCTTAGTTAGGGTTCATTTTTGCTAATTATACCTAGTTAGACTGCTATTTGATTACCCATGGTAAATTCTGTCTTGGTATTCTGGGATGGTTCTATAGAAACTGTGAGACCGGTTGGGTTTAGGGTTAGATATAGTCCCTCCTTTACAAGACATCAAGGAATCACTATGAGAAATGAAACCATTTTACATGTCAAGTAGAACTGTAAATCCATGAAAACTAATTGTCATAATTTGAATGCATATCCAGAACTGAATTTCACGTGTTTGCAGTAATTTTATCAGCACATATAATCACCACATCAGTTACGCACATGCATATAGTATCCTGCCACTAGGTATTTCAGAAAAATATGTGATGGTGTGTTCAGGATATATGCCTAATGTTATCCTCAAGAACTTTGATTAGTTCTGGTTACGCATGGGTCTACTTAAATCACGGCAAGACAAAGCATTTTTCACAGCTTGGTCACAACACGAAGAACTGATTTCATGGGCATTTCCCAGCAGCCCCACCTCTTGCCACTGATCAGTGGAGAAGCACATACCATATAGTTTAATAGCAAATTCTGCAGAAAGTAAATGATATCATATAATTTATTATATTGGTATAAATCTAAATATTACATTTAAATCTAAATTTAAATATATTATAAATATAAAGGTATATACAATGTGAATTGTAACATATCATCATAATTTATTATTATATGTAGTGTTCTACAAAAAGTTTAGAACCGCTAATTCATGCTAACCTTAATATATTATCACTTCACTGACTGGCACCTTCACTTAGTCTACATCGCTAGCGAACAGTAACTCTCTATGGCTGCAGTGACTGTTGCATTGTCTTTGTATTGCAGTAAGCATTGGGACATTCTAAAACAGTGCATGAATAATACGCTGGTTTTTCTTTTTAGGTTGATTTCATGGGAAATGGCAGCCAATGCAATATTTCCTGGTGATCATGGACAATGCTGTTTTTCATGGTTTCTGTGAAAACCACAAAACCGTGAATTAAATAGACCTTTAGTTTTACACTAATCTGTAACCAAAAATATTTATTTCACATTTCTAAATCATACATCTGTGGTTGGGGAATTTCTCATGAGCATGTCTAATAAAACTAAGTCTAATGCTTGCAAAATGACCACTAACCTAAGTTTCTATTTATTTAAAAGACATACTCCACTAGTCCTTCTATTTTACCCTTACACTGTTCCAATACTTAATCTGTTTAGGAAGATTGATATATATTGTGTCATTCTTTCTATGACACTTTCTTCAGGTGGAATGGTTGGCGGAGTTTAATTTTTGATAGAAGTCTATGTAATTGACACCAGAGTTTTATGTGCTTAACTACTATTACAATTCTTATAATCAGTAGACACATTGTATCAGTTTAAAAATAATAAATATATTGCATACTTGGACTATGGTATGCATAGTACATCAGCCTTATGTTAAAGAATTGTACTGAAATAACTTTCTATTATTTTATTTTATTGTATTTTATTTCTACAGCTTAAGCAATAATGTGGGGTGGGTTATGTTGGGTCTCTAGCAAGCTGTGCGATTCTGTAAAATAAGGTTCTTGGAGAATAAGGAATTCCTTTATGATACAGACCACTTGTACTGACAGAACTATTAGTCAGTCTTACAATTTACCAACATCTCCCTGATTTCTGAGACATAGTCATTATTGCCAAGCTGAATTTATAAGTACCTATAAAGAAAATAAAATTGTATTTTGGGAGTGATTTTTGTCTTGCGGTAGCTGTCACAGATTGAGGTCATTACAGAGTGAGAAATGGCAGGCTCATGGTAAAAATTAGCGTTTTGAAAATCACAGTGATCTTTTATTTGTGCCTTTACATTTCTAATACATTTAACTTCCTGCTAGGAAAAAGAAAAGCAAGAAAAATTCATATTATAACTGCAACGCTCAAGACTTTGGTATTAGGTATAATTTTTCAAGTTTAATAAACAAATAGTGAGCAAATACTAGGCAACTAAATAAATGGTGAGTTTTGCTGATAAGTGTTTTAAGTATTATGCCTGATAGTTGTATAAGACAGTTGTTCGCAAAGTTTTCAAAAATAAGTTGGACAAATATTTGTGTAGGATGTTTTAGTCGAGGATAATCCTGCCTTGAGCAGGGCGTTGGACTAGATGCCTCCTCCAGTCTTTTCCACTCTACTTTCTATGATTATGTGATTCAATCCAAGATAAAGTTACTGATACAATCAGGGGGAGGTACTATTTAATGATATATCTGAGTGTTCTGAAGGATTCAGAAGTGGGGCAGTTATGCAAAAATGGCACCCAAGTGTTTTACTGATACTAAGGGGTGCCTGTACACAAGCATGAAGGCTGCTCCAATGCTCTGTAATTACAGCACGTCAGAACAGGCTCAATTAATCGAGTCTGCCATAGCGTGGCAATTACCACACTCCAGCAGCCTCCTGCATCTCATGTATCGGTGTTCCTGCGCTTAAAAATGGTGGCATTTTTAAGTAGGGGGGCACTGATACACAAGAAGCTGTGGGGCTTTAATAAGACTGGCTCTCGGAGCCACTCTAATTAAAGCTCCACTCTCCCTGCCCCCGGAGCTCGTGTAAAAGTACCCAAAGTGATATCCTAAAAATGGGTTCTAAATCAAGTAACATACCTCTAAACTACCAACATAAGTTTAGAAAAATCTCCGGAGTACCTTTTTTGGTTATAAAAGTTAAGTTACACAAAGTAAAATACTGAGTTTTTTAAAGAATTACAAAATTATTTGATGTGCACTAATGCGCCGTGTTCTGTGTTCATTAAAACTTATGTGGGAAATTTATTTGAAAGCAAGATAATGGATAAATTATTACAGCTGGTTAAAGAATGGAATTGCTACTACCCAGGAAATTCTAACATTCAAAATTTGTTTTTATTCTAAACAGAAATTAAAACTTTAAAATTCTGGAATTTTTCAGGATAAGGAATTCTGAATCATCTAACATTTTTGACAATTTTGAACATATAACATAGTAAATATTTTATAGAATAGTAAAAACAAGTATACACATATAACAATGATATTATAAACAATTAAGCAAAGTGATAGCATTAAACGTTTTTACCATAGTAAAATAGAACATTTGATCTTTTCAAAACAAGAAAATAGAAATGATTTCCTCAAAAACGTTATCAAAATGAAAGTGTTTGAATATTTACAGAACTGAAATTTCTTGTCAAAAACCTTTCAATTAGCTATAATACTCTTAGGTTGAAATGTATTGAACTGAGCAAGAGCAGAAAAGTGCAAAATCTGTTAGCTTTGTTGAAGGTCTTGATTGAAATTATGCAAATTGAGTAGAATTAAAAGAGGAAGTGAACAGAACTCCAGTGAAATTTGAGATGGTACTAAACTGGAAGCAATTATGACCCCACTCAGAGACAGAGATTTAAAACAAAAAGAAAATAATAAAAAATGAGATTTTAATGTAAAAGATGTTAATAATATATCCTGAGAAAAAAATCATCTAAAAGTCATATGCATGTTGGTAGGAGGCAAAATGGGCAAAAAGAAAGTGGACATTACTTAAGAGTATAACAGATTACATGATCATACCCACTTTGCTGTTTGCCATGAATAAAAAAAAAAAAAGATTGATCCAAGCTTTAGTTCTTCAGGAATTTCCCATCACAAAACAGAAAAGAGTAATATATAGGTCTTTCCTATATGACTTGAGTGCAAGACACCTGGGCTAAGTACAAGCAGTCAAAAAGCCTGAGGTGAAATCAGTTCAATCTACATGGGTTTTTCTAAGCTGCATAGATTGAACCGATACCGAACTGAACTGACATTCAGTTGTCCCCTGTCCAAGACAGGCAAATGTCTGCACTGGCCACTGCCAGAAGCAGGGGGGTGCTCACAAACACCTCCCACCTCCCCCAGGCTGGGAACATGAAGGCCCCACCCTCTTGCTAGCCTCCAGCCTGTCAGGTACAGGGGGTGGGCAGAGGGAAATGGACCCCCACTGTAGCCCAGCTTCCCACTATCAGGGGTTGGAGTGGGTCCATTCCCTCCCATCCTCAACGCCCCCCACAGCTGACAGGTCGAGGTCTGGCAAGGAGGCAGGACTCTGGTGTTCCCAGCCAGCAGAGCCGGGGAGGGGAGGGTGGAGGGAAAGCTCACACCTGGGAGTTTCCACTTCCCACCAACCCCTGCTGGGATGGGGCAAACTGGATCAGGGGTCCATTCCACCCCTCCCACCAATCCCCTGTGCCTGACAGGTGAGGGCCTGGTGATGGGGTGCGACTCTGGTGTTCCCAGCTGGCAGGAGCCAGGCTGCAAGGGCAGTGGGAGGGAAAGCTGTGCCTGGGGGCTTCCCCACCCAACTGCTTGTCAGACCCCAGCTGGGGCAGGGGCCTGAGCTACCTCACTCGCCCCCTGCGCTGCCTGCAGGCCCAGCTGGGGAGCTGAGGTTTTGCTGCCTCTGTTCTATGACAGCCTGGAAGCAAGTGGGGGCCACAAAGCTTTCTGGCATGCTGGAGGACTATAACTTAGCTTGATTTGCTATGAGACCTGAGACAGAAGTTAAACCTAAACCTTAACCCTAACTTGGTTGTTTGATTCATAGACTCATAGATGCTAGGGTCAGAAGGGACCTCAATAGAAAATCGAGTCTGCCTGCCTGCCAGTGGCAGGAAAAAAGGCTGGGGTCATGTGACCCCAGCCAGGTGCTTGTCCAGTCTCTTGGTGAAGACCTTCAAGATAGGGGAGAGCACCACCTCCCTTGGAAGCCCATTCCAGATTCTGGCAACCCTAACCGTGAAGAAGTTATTTCTGATGTCCAACCTAAATCTACTCTCTATCAGCTTGTGGCCAGTTTCTGGTTATTCCAAGGGGTGTTCTGGTAAACAGAGCATCTCCTATTCCCTGCTGCACCGCTCCCCCCACCCCGGTGAATTTGTATACTGCCACA